TTACTAATTTATAATTTAGTATAAAGAAATAGATTTAGTATAAAGAAAAGTTTGTTATATAAAGACTAGTTTAGAATTTTTAAATTTTAATATTGATTTCATAATTAATATTAATTATTAAATAATGTAATTTTTAAATCTAATATCTTTCTTTAACATTACAAAAAAGTAACACTTCATTATTTTCTAAATAACGGTGTTATTTGCTATGATAACGTGTTATTCTTATGAAGTAATGTTCCCAACCCTTTCTCTCTTTAACAAAATTTTTTGACAAAATCACTCGTGGTTAGATTCTGTTATAGTGTCTTTAATTTTGTCCAAGGGTGAAAACGCGTGACCGAGATGGTCGTTTTACAATCTATCACGCTACAGAGTATTTCGTAAAAATGTACGACAGGAACGACTGACATGTAATACGATGTTACAATCGATCATCCTAATACGGTTGTCAGTAAAATGCGTTGTGCTCCGTTCTGTTATATTTTCACGTATGTTGCGCGAGCAAAGGGAAACGAAACTTTACCGGCGCGTTCGATCGACGATACAAAAATAAAAAAAGATATATATATGTATATATAAATGAAAGGAAAAAATAGGGGAAGGGAGGGGATAAAAATTCAACAAAAGGCGCCGTGCACATAACATCTACACGTCGCGTACAACCATAAAACGAAGTGACGCGTAGAACTTGCACGTAAAAAAAAAGTGTGTACATTTAGTGTCTATCGTTAGTCCGAAGTATCGCGGGCTGAAATAGCGAAATTCGTTGTCGAGATTTCGTTTCGGCTCCTCGTCTGAGTTCGTCGCGTCCAACTCATGACTGGCGGCGCGAATACAAGATTATCATAGAGCATTAGCTCTACGTTTGTATTAAGTACCATAGGCTGTTACGCTTGTGTTACCTCAGGAAACTCAATCGAGTATTTACAATTGCGTGATAAACATTCGATACGCCATCACCTTCACTAATTATAAGGAAAAATTTTTGGTACTTATTATAACTATAATTACATGGTAAAATATTAAGATTAAAAGCATCTTTTTTGTAATTATTATTACTGTTACAATGTCAGTAATAATTATATTTGTAATTCTATATACGAAAAAATATAATGCTATCCATTATAATTTATAATATGAATTATAATCATTTTTAGGGATTTTTAGGGATATTTTTTTTAGTATATAGAATTATAAATTAGTTATATTTACTATTTATATAATTACTATTGTATTATAAACATAATAAGAATATTATACAGCAATAATAATTAAAAATTCGCTCCTAATCGTAATTATTTTACTATGTTATGGTCACAAATATCAAAACTTTTCTCTCGGCAGACAATGTGACAGTTCAAGACATCCCTCACATGTTCGGCTTAGACCGTTTGAGTTGTCCGAATTGTTCCGTCAAGGTAGATAATATCGAAATAATCGTCTCGCTGATTTCAGCCCGATGGCCCTGCACGACGCGGCCGATCTCGATGAAAAAAAAACTGTTCTTCGCGAAAGAATACATCTTTTACTTATAAACGCTACGCCTAGTACTTACAAAACCGGTAGCGTTAATCGCTCCGCGAATAATACATTTATATAATAAAACCGATCGGCGCGGCTACGGTAAACCGCAATCTCTTGTCGTTCGAAAAGACAGCGCATCCTTTCACACTTGTGTATATAAAAGTATAAAATGCATCGAACGCCGCATCGAGTCTTTTCTGATAGGCGGTAGTCAGACAGCTTCTGCGCGTCATTGAAGATGAACTCGCGAGATTCTCCGTCCAACCTGCCCTCATTCTTGAAATATATCTTCCCATTTATACTTACGACGTCTTTTCTCGCGTGAGCGGCCGGAAATTGATGTGTCCCGATACTTTAACATCGTATTCGGAGAACGCTCGTGGACGCAATCTCACGAGAAGTTCCACGCGTCTTCTATAAAAATACAGAAAAAAATATCCGCAATCAATACAGAAAGTAAATGTAAATGCAATAAAATAACGAGCGTCGTAATAATCGTACGTAATTTAACAAAATAACGTTCTATGATAATGTTCTCGTGGGCCGCGTCGAGATTGACTAATTAAACGGACAACAATTAACGCATTGAATTCGGGATGGCAGTTAATTGTCTGAATCAACAACATTGTAAAACATTGATAAAATAGCCGAATTCAAAGCGTTAGCGAGAAAATAATCAATCTCGAAGAGTTAAATAGACGAGTCTATCTGAACATGAATTTTAAATGAACAAAATTTAATTTTTCGAAAAAATGTTTGAAACAGCGATTAATGTTCAACAAAAATACACAATTTAAACAATAAATTTCTTAGACAGTCTTAATTGCTTAGAATCAGATGTTAGCAAAGTCGGTAAATAAAATAAACGAGGAAAGATGGCGAATCACGCAGAGAATACACTGCCCTCCTTGTCGATAGTTAGTAAATTCCTTCGTAAATACCATATCCCTGGTGTCCTCCGATACTCATGGCTCATTCACTAGCACTCGCACATATAATGATATCACTGCCTGTAATCATTGCACTCGAGGTCACTATAGTCACTTTCACAATTGTTCCGACAGAATGATCACTCTGAGCGTCTGGACATTGTCATTGTCGAGAAGTTTGTTGGACCCTTTGAACGATACTTCGTCCTTTTCGAGATTCTCGATAGTCGTGTGCTCGCATCCTTCCGCTTCGGCTCTCTCCTCTCCTGGTGGATCGTCCTTATGTACCGCGCTTCCTCTCGCGAGTAACGATTCGTGAGATGTTTTAATTGTGTCGATCGAAACGCCCGAGTCGATTGATGCTGGATCAACGTTGCTCTTTGTGCATCCTATCTGCAATCGTTCGTGTGTAATTGGACTCTGCGACGGATCGGCAGGCTTTTTGGAAACGG